GAGGCTCCCCGTACCCACAGCCACTCCATCTTACCAGGGTTCACTTGAAGCCTGTTGGCCCCCATCCAGTCCATAATAATCAGGTCCCTCAAGGATCTACTATACTGAATGGGATATCCAATTCAGCACAGCAAAACCTTTAAAAACCACTTTGTTGCTGGCTTGTTCTGGGTTATCAAAATGTGTCTCTCCAGCATAGCCAGAGTTTTCCAGCAGGAAAGAACAGCCTAAGCCTCTATTCTTGCTTCTCTTTTTTGGCAGCATATGCGAACGGGTGACGCCCCGCCTCTCTCATGCCAACTCCGCTGTTGTGCTTTCGGCTGTCAAAGTGCTGATGAAGTTCCTGGAGCTCCTCCCCAAGGACTCTGACTACTACAATATGTTGCTGAAGAAACTGGCCCCTCCACTGGTCACCCTGCTATCTGGCGAACCTGAAGTCCAATACGTTGCTTTGAGGAACATCAACCTGATTGTGCAGAAAAGGTCAGGGCACAACAGAGGATGCTGTTTCAAAAATTCTGATTGAATAACTGCATATAAGACGGTTTTGTCTGACCAACCTGGACTGATCCTGGTATTCTGCAACTTCAGGGATGTTATTACAGAATTATTTAATAGCATTGGCTACCAAAAGGTACACTCCTGGTAAATAGCTTGAAATGCCTTTAAAGCGGGATCAGACAAACGTGGAGCACTATTATAGTACTATTAGCAGATGATTTAATACAGGTTTTCTCATCTGCCAGACCTCCTGGTAGGTTGGATTATAGCTCCCATCATTCCCAGCCAGCACAGTGTCTGTGCTAACTAGGATAATATAATCCAATACCTACAGAGGTGGAATAGGTTAGGGAAAGCTAATTTGAGTTGTTTTCATGGTGGAGCATGGTACTTCTTTTAACTGGAAAACAAATGTAAATCTGCCTTTTGTCAGGAATGAATGAGAGTGCTGCTTGGTGACAGTTTTAGTCTGTGTGCTCATTCCCCTTCCAGGCCTGAAATTCTGAAGCAGGAGATCAAGGTGTTTTTTGTGAAATACAATGACCCCATCTACGTGAAGCTGGAGAAACTCGATATCATGATTCGCTTAGCATCGCAGGCCAACATTGCTCAGGTCAGTCCTGGGACCCAATGGGTCTCATTTCACAGTTGCCTAGAAAGTTGCTTCCAGTAAGTGCTTCTCCATCAGCTCTGCAGTTACTTGTAATCCCTGAGTCCCCAACAGGTCACCTCAGGGTGACATTGTGCCAAGTAACACATTTCTTGATCCCTGTCCAGCTTCCTGCCTTCCCTAATTCTTTTAAGGTTCTCTGATAGGTCTGTATGCTGCATGACTTGAACCCAACATCAACATTCTTAGACAATGAAAAGGTGGGTGGTTACAGCCCACTGCCTTTTTGGCCTTCTGGTAAATGAATCTATGGGTATGCCCAATCCTACCACGGGAATTCTTTAATGAGAATGCCCATGACACGGCCGCAGCCTTCCAAATCTGCCTACTGGCTACAATGGGTATCATTTCCTGCTGTAATACATTTCTAGTGTGTATGTGTTTCTCTGTAACAGGAGGGCTAGAAACTTGTAAGGGAGATGTTTCCCTTTTATTGGGTCAGATCAGTGGTAGCAAGCCAATAGGGGACAGGGCAACAAGAAATGGTACCATAGTCAGATTCAATCTTCTTTTTTTTTTAATGTGTTTCCAACAGGTTTTAGCAGAACTCAAGGAGTATGCCACAGAAGTGGACGTGGACTTTGTCCGCAAAGCTGTCCGTGCCATTGGGCGATGCGCCATCAAAGTTGAAGTGAGAAGCCTTTTTTCCCTGGTTTTGCTTTTGCGTTAAATTGCTGTAACTGGTTGAACCTCAGTTCAGAATATGAATTGTAAGGGGTACGCTTTGAAAATAAGTGATGTTAAACATGAAGTTGACATTGTCACATGTGGCTCAGACGTAGGCTGCATGGTGTGCACACACAACCACTACACTCAATTCTGGTAGATTCATGGTGGCTGATGCAGAAACAAGGGTGTTTGAAGGTGGGGTAAAAAAGTCAATATGGCAACTACAACTATGTGATCAAATCCCTGCCCCTTTTTACATGCACTGGGGTTTTTTTCCCTTTGGCACATCTCCTTGCGGGGCACCCCTGCACAGAAATACAGTCGGAGAGTAGACTGAGTGCAGTAAATTCTTACTCATCCTAAAAGAGAACATTTTCAGCATCTTGATCTTCAGTTCAGAGTAAAAACACATACACCAGCTTTCAGTCCTTTGGGAAATGCTGCCTTTTATTGTTCTCTCTGCTTTCAGAGCCCTTGATTTAGACAACAGTGTTCAGTCAATGGAGAATGTTATAATTTAAAAATCATCTTATCTCTGGAACAGACTGACCTCTCCTACCACCACCACCCCAAATCCCTAGCTGCTTTCCTAATAATTAACATTATTTGAAGTTGATTGACCTTAACTGAAATAGGACCGATACTTGGAAACCCTTTTTTCTTTAAAAAAAAAAAGGGCAAATATTTGGGGCTGAATCAGTAAGATTTCATGTTCAGTTAATTCAGCAGACAGCCATTTCAAAAGGAGTACTATTTAGATGAATGTGAAATAGGTGCTCTGCTATTCAGCTGTAGCTTTTTTCTTAGATGTGGAAAGCCATCCAAACACTAAAGCATTAGAAACAAAAGAAGCTGCTTCATTTGCCATCAGGCTGTAGTTTAGGATTAGGGGTGGGGCAGGGAGACATTCTCCAGGGTCTCTTCCCAGTGATGTTATCAAAGATGCTGGGGATCAGTTCCCACTGCATTTCCTAGACCAGTGACTCATGGTGGGTAGTACCAACAATGGTTTCTGCTACACTGGAAATATTCAAATGCTATCCAGCATGAAGACTGTGGGAAAAATACCCATTTTCAGCAAAGGGTGATTAAGTTAGTAAGGCTCTAGATATCTTTAGTCATACTTTAGGAAAAGTAGTCCTCTTTGTTTGTGTGATTGGAAAGAGGCATGACACAGAGTTGTACGGTCATTCATTCAGAGGCTCAAGCCAATTTCCATAACTTTAAAAAATATTAACAGTGCCAGCAGCAAATGTACTTCTAGCATAGTATATAATATCTATTAATGAAACATAGACTGAAATAAACATGTCACATTTCATACCACTTAGGGATGTTTGCCATGAAAGGACGGATTTCTTGTGAATGGCTAGAACATGACCCCTGCCTTCTGATTTCTAAAAAAGGAGTGGATGTGATACATGTGGGTGGGGTTATAGAATCACGAGTATATGTAGGGCAGCCTTTAAACTGGAGCTGACTTTCTACTTTAAGTCCTTTTCTCTGCTCTGTCCTTTTTGACAGCAATCTGCTGAGCGCTGTGTGAGCACGCTTCTGGATCTCATCCAGACCAAGGTCAACTATGTAGTGCAGGAAGCCATTGTGGTCATCCGTGACATCTTCCGCAAGTATCCCAACAAGTAAGTACAGCTACCAAGTGAAGTAGGCAGAAGCAGCCTTGCCAATACTAACTGGAGTTTACTTAAGGGGTAACCATTTGTATGGCCTTTAGGTAATATGGTAGAGGAATACTTGAATACTTGAATACTTGAGCAGAGAAGGTTGATTTGAGAAAATCAGGTGGCATTGATTAAATACAGTGAATGCAGTTACTCTCCATAGATTTAGAATCATAATGTTGGAAGAGAAGTTAGTGGTCATCTAGTCCAACTCCTGTTCCATTAGAACATTTCTGGCAGATGACCATCCACACCTCCAGTGAAAAAGAACTCACCGCTTCATGTGGCAACCTATTCTACTAGTTGACAGCTTGTACAGTCAGGAGGTTCCTCATGATGTCTAGCCTGAACATCCTGCCTTATAGTTTAACCCATTAGTTCTGGTCCTTCCCTCTGGGGCAATAGAGTATAAGTCTACTTCCATTTGATAATCTTTCAGAGTCTTCGTCATATTTCTCCTCCTCTTCTTTAGATGAAATATACCCAGATATATTGACTGTTCTTCAGAATGCTTGGTATCCAGACCCCTCACCCTTTTGGTAGCTCTGTTCTGAACTTGTTCTAATTGGTCAATGTCCTTTTTTAGACTGCTGCGTCCAGAATTGGACACAATACTACAAGTTATGACTGGCCAGGGCAAAATAGAGTGGAAAAATGATTTTCCATTTGCCTTTTTAGTAGCTGAATCACATTGCTGGTTCATGTTTAACTTGTAGTCAACAAAGATAACCAGTCCCCTTTGGCATGTACTACTGCTAAACCTTAACCAACTCATCTACAGGCCTTCACTAGTACTAGTAATTAATTATTTGAGATACTAGTAATTATTCAAGAGCTGGGATGCAAGAATGGGATACACTGGGATGGGATGCTTTGCAGGGTTAGAGAGACTTGAAATTGACAAGGGAAACTACTTGATAAACAGAGAATAGGATGTTATTAAAGTGGATGGAACAATAATTAAAACCAATAGCTGAAGAGCTTGGAGAAAAAGGAGGGTGAGTGCAAGGTTTGTTTTAAAACTGTGTGGTATAGAAGCTGGGCAGAAAGAAACAGAGAGCACAGGAGGATTTGACAGTCATAAAGAACCCTATCCAACTCTACTTTGCTTAAATTAGGTATGAGAGTATCATTGCCACACTTTGTGAAAATCTTGATTCTCTGGATGAGCCAGATGCCCGAGCGGCTATGATCTGGATTGTGGGTGAATATGCAGAGAGAATTGACAACGCGGATGAGCTCTTGGAGAGCTTTCTAGAGGGCTTCCATGATGAAAGCACCCAGGTAATGTTGATATCTCCATATTTCTGTCTCAGTTCTTTGAAGGACGAGACTGGATCCTTAATTTCAGCAGCTTGGTGCTAGCCAAAAGCTTGCCCACATTCCTCTTTCCACAAGCTGCTTTTCTCAACCCAATCTCTGCTATATGCCGCTATACCCCTGCTTTCTCCAGCCATTTGCTCTCCAGATACGTCCAGCTATCATAATTCCCAGCAGTTGGGGAAGAGTTTGCTTTTCATTAGCTGTTTTAAGAGAGAACAGGGATTTCTTCTTTGTCACCATATATTGATGCCAAATTCCAAGTACATTCAAATCTTCAACTTTGGCAGACAGCTGTCACACCATCCCTGAAGGTATTTAAAAATAGCTTCTCAATGTAATCGGGATATTATCTCTTCAGAGAACGGTCTGTCTTTGTTAATTGTATTTGTCTATCATCCTTTTCACTCACTCAGCTTTGTTCTTGCTTCTCAGCCGCTGATCAGAACATTTTCCCTTCTTTTCATGCCTCAGCATTATCTTCCCCCTGCAGAGTTTTTTGCATTTGTGTATAACTCAGGGTTCCTCTGGATCTGCCCATGTCTCTTATTTTTGTGTAGTTGGTGTTGTTCTCGCAACCTACACAAAAGCCTCAGTAATATATAGATATGGGACATCCAGGTTCAGAGCAATGCGCCCTAAGTACTGGCTGCTCAGAGGTAAATATGGAAGAACTGTTTTCCTTCCCAGACTCGCTCACTGCTTCCTGGAGGCATCAGATTGACTGGCAATTGTGGGAAGCAGGATGCTAGATTAAATGAAGTTTAGAGCTGATCCCTTGAGGCTTCTTTCTTTGTTCATTGCATGAGGAACTGCGTCATGCAATTGCTTAGCCTTTCTTTCATTCTTTGAGCTTCATGCCCCATTGAAGGCAGTGCTCCCCGAGGTCGGCTGGTACTGGAAGTGTAACTCCTCCATTATAAACCTTCCCAATTGCCTCGTTCTTGCTTTTCCTCAGGTGCAGCTCACTTTGTTGACTGCCATTGTGAAGCTGTTTTTGAAGAAGCCGTCTGAGACACAGGAACTGGTCCAGCAAGTGCTGAGTCTTGCCACACAGGTAAGGCACAGAGCCCTGTTCGGCTGCGCTTCCTGTGCTGAAAAGTGTTAGCATCATCATTACACTATCGAAAGGTCCCGCTGGCACTTGGTTATTTATATTGTGTGCAGTGATATTGAAACCCCTGTGGCGCATTCCCTTTCCACCCGGTTGCTGGTAACATTTGAATAATACCAAAGTGGAATGGTCAGCAATGCGTGGCATCTTTCCATGCCAGTATCTGTCCTGCACATTAAGGAATGCCTGTTAAAAAAGATAAAGAAATGCTAGGGCTAATGGATGCTGGTGTAGATAGTTTTAAAAGGGGATTAAATAAATTAAAGTTGGAAGCGTGTCTGTGAGCCACCATAAACTGGGATGTCTGAATGAAGCCTCTGCGTTTAAGGTCAAGCAGCACGCCTCTGATTACTAATGGACAGCAGCAGGGAAGGTCAACTGCCTTTCTGCTGTCCACAGAAAACCATGGAATAGCCGGCATTTGGTAATCAGAGGTGATAAACCCCACCTCTGAAGTGGTTTCCTTCCCAGTTCTCACAGCTAACTACACCTTATCTAGTTCTTGCTTTGGAGGAAAAAAGCCTGTTATGCAATGGGCTGTCACATTTTGCAATAGCTTTGCAATAGGAGAGATTCTATAAGTTGTCTCTTTGTTGTTTGTGTACAGGTCGTCCCTGGGTTAGGAACGCCCGGTTTACAGACAAGCCATAGTTAAGAACTGAGCCTATTGTAGTGAAATTCGTGTTAAATGCGTAATGATTTGAGTTAAATACACAATGGTTCAAATCCATTACACAAGGTACTTTCACCAGCATTAAACACAAGGAAAAACAGATCACCAGTCTTCCATGCAGGGGTGCGATGCAGGTCCATCCAAGAAACATTACCCAAAGGTCCTACTTTTGACCTTAGCCTCCTATGCCCTCTTCTCCCCTTCACCCTCCGTATTCCTCTGTCAAAGTTTGCTCCAAATCAGTTAATCCATTAACAGAAACTCTTTTTCGGCCTCAGGATTCTGACAACCCAGATCTGCGTGATCGTGGCTACATTTACTGGCGACTCCTCTCCACAGACCCTGTCACTGCCAAGGAGGTGGTTTTGTCAGAGAAGCCCCTGATCTCTGAAGAGACCGACTTGATCGAGCCCACTCTGCTGGATGAGCTCATTTGCCACATTGGTTCGTTGGCCTCAGTGTACCACAAGCCGCCCAATGCCTTTGTGGAGGGCAGCCATGGAATCCACCGGAAACACCTGCCCATCCATCACGGAAGGTCCATATATATGAATGTTGCCCTACCCTGATATCCTTAAAATTTTGGGTGGCCAGTTTGTAATACAAAGTTTAAAAACAGACTCACAATTAACATGAAAATGGAAACAGCATTGCACATGGGGAAAGGTCATAAGCAGTTGCATAATTTATATCTTGCCAGCAAATTTGAGAGAAACAGGACGCATTGCCTGAAATAGGGTTGAGAAACTCGAGGTCCATTGGGTAATGTTGAACTCCAGTTCCTAATGGCCTAAGCCATGGCAAGGGATCCTGAGAGCTGTAGTTTAGCAACATCTGGAAGGCCGCAGGTTTCCCAGGCAAGAATACTTGCATTGCAAAGTCTGTTTAGAGCAGCTTGTTTGAGAAAGTTTTTTGTGTTGCTCTCTTCTTTGACAGTGAAACAAAGTAACCCTTTGTTTCCCACCCCCACCCCCCCCCCCCCCCCCTT